CTGCAGAGCCACACACATGGGCAGATGAGGAGCTGGTACCTGCAGAGCCACACACATGGGCAGATGAGGAGCTGGTACCTGCAGAGCCACACACATGGGCAGATGAGGAGGTGGTATCTGCAGATCCTTACCACACATGGGCAGATGAGGAGCTGGCATCTGCAGAGCCCCACATATGGGCAGATGAGGAGCTGGCATCTGCAGAGCCCCACATATGGGCAGATGAGGAGCTGGCATCTGCAGAGCCCCACACATGGTCAGATGAGGAGCTGGTACCTGCAGAGCCACACACATGGGCAGATGAGGAGCTGGCATCTGCAGAGCCACACACATGGGCAGATGAGGAGCTGGTACCTGCAGAGCCACACACATGGGCAGATGAGGAGGTGGTATCTGCAGATCCTTACCACACATGGGCAGATGAGGAGCTGGCATCTGCAGAGCCCCACACATGGGCAGATGAGGAGCTGGTACCTGCAGAGCCACACACATGGGCAGATGAGGAGCTGGCATCTGCAGAGCCACACACATGGGCAGATGAGGAGGTGGTATCTGCAGATCCTTACCACACATGGGCAGATCTCTGGTGGGGTCAGTGGAAGAGTTTGTTTCTCTGCAGGATGTCAGTGGCCGAGTTGAACTGACGCACTTCTCTTCTGAAATCGCGCAGCTTGCGGAGCTCCTTCTGGTACGTTGCCGACGTCGGCTTCCTCACATACTGGACCTCACTCAGCAGTTTGTCACACAAGTAATGAAGCCACAAGACATTGGAGTGCGGCGCGTACCGAGACCATCCGTTCCTGCCAAGACCAAAAACACCGCACCAGTTACATACACGTCACTCAACGTGTAACCCTAAACACGTATACTACAGACTCCGCCCATGGGAGGGTACAGGAGAGCTCATATACTAGACTCCGCCCATGGGAGGGCACAGGAGAGCTCGTATACTACAGACTCCACCCATGGGAGGGTACAGGAGAGCTCGTATACTACAAACTCCACCCATGGGAGGGTACAGGAGAGCTCGTATACTACAGACTCCACTCATGGGAGGGTACAGGAGAGCTCGTATACTACAGACTCCACCCATGGGAGGGCACAGGAGAGCTCGTATACTACAGACTCCACCCATGGGAGGGCACAGGAGAGCTCGTATACTACAGACTCCACCCATGGGAGGGTACAGGAGAGCTCGTATACTACAGACACGGAAAGGGCGATTGATTTCATTGGCCGCTGTCCGGGTTGTACATAGGAGATGTCTGAGACCAGTATGAGACGTTGTAAAATGTCTGACTGCAAATTGTATCTCTTTATAAATCCCCCCCGAGGTTGTCTCCTGATCCCTACTATCACAAGCAGTCCTGTAGTGTTGTATACGTGGATGGTCTTCATTGGTTTATGCTCCGCCATCCCCCTTTGTGCTTCACATATAACCTTTTGTTTTATCAAGAAACCTTTGTGTATAGAGAGCGACGCGAGAGCGACTAGACAGCGACTAGAGAGCGAATACACAAGTTGGTGCGATTCTTTATTCCCAAGTGTGCGGAGGAATACAGCGCTCGCTCTGTCCTGTGCGGCGGTAGCG